CTCCAATGAAAGCCCAGAGTAAGCAATATACACCAACTGATGAACCCAACCTGTCAAAGTGACAGGGGATAAGTCATGCGACACCTTTGGATCCAAAGGATAAACAAATGGTGACGTGAACCACGAAACCCTTCAGTGCATGCAACATAACATCGAAGAGCCCGAACCAGGCATAAAAGATGATCCAGATCCGTGTTTTCATAGAAATCAGAAATGGAGGAAAGATGAATAGAAGAGAAACAATTATCCCCTTCTCTAGCTGCTGAAGTTTTGGGAACAAAGGACCCATCAAGATACAACATAACATAAGTGGAATGGTAAAATGTCCTAGGAACATGAACTGCAAACACATCCAAACATCGACATCCACTAGCCAACAAGAGAATAAAATAAGTCTTAAAGCAAAATATGACATAGGGAACATGGTGCCAAAGGTTCAAAGGGAAGATGAGATAAGGCATGGAGAACCACCGACATATTCCAATTAAAAAACTGGAAAGGACACTGAGGACAGATAACCTGAAGAGATTTCACAAGCAAGGGCAAAACCTGGAACTCAAAAACTTGATGTTTTTTGGAAAAATGAAAATTAGCTGACAAAGCAGCCTTATACAGAGAAACGAATGAAGGTGCCAAACCTTTGTCAAATAACCATGTCAGATATTGACAAACATTTGGCACAGTAGGATGGGATATATTAAAGTCCTGTCTGATAAACCACTGATGATAAGTAAACCATTTCCATTGATAAAGGTCCAATAAAGAATGCTGAATGGACTGCATTAATAAAGATGTCACTTGAGAAGTCAATTTCTGATGTTATGCAACAGACCATATAAAGGCCTGGCACAAAGCTGAAGAATGGTGATCACCAGATGAAAAATGTCTGACCAAGGCTGATGTAAGAGGGATAGCCAGAGAGGAAATGGAAGAGATTGTCATTTCTGAAGATAATGAAGGAGTGGAAACCCAGGCTGACCCAGCCAATATTGCACCACCAGAAGAACTGGACAGGACAAGGAGCACATCAGTGCAAGAACCATGGATAACAAATGAAGATCTGTCCAATCCTGGCTGAGAGCATCTATGCCTAAAGCCAGAGGGCGAGGAACAGGAGCTGGGCATTCCAGTGAGTGGCAAAAGCAATGATATGAGGCATCCCGAGATGAGAGCAGAACCAAAAAAATATTTGTGGATGAAGCATTCGTTTTGTAGGCAGAACTCTGTTGGGACCAGATAATTGATTGGTTACAAAATTCATAACACTTGGAACATGACCAGATAGGAGAACAATGATTGTGGGCCCAAAAGAGAAGCTCCAATGTTCGAAAACAAAGAGACCTGGAGTGAGTGCCCCTTTGCTTGGAAATGTTGGAGGCCACAATGGAATTTTCCAAAAGAAGTATTTCCACCTACCCTTGCAACTTTGTGGTAGTAAGAATAGACTTCTCTGTTTTGGCGAAACCCAGCTCTCACAG